TATGCAGAGACTCCTTTTATCAGCAGGGTGCCTTCCCAGCATCTTCCTGTCTCATCTTTTGAAGTTGCTGTCACAGAAACATGGCCTCCGGCTCTGAAACTGCCAGGTTTTCCTGTGTGATTTTCAGGCAGTCTGACAGCCTGGGAGGAGCCCACCTCTACATGTAAATAGGGCATCCCACAAAGTACCTATCAGCTAAGGCTTTTACCACTACCCCCACAGTATAAAGTATCCTGGTTTTCCCTCAATAATCGGAGCTGGGTCACTAAGACCTGGAGCTGAGCTGAGTCACTGAATAAAGGAGCTCTACCTGACTGAGCTGAGTTCTGTGTCTTACTGCCTACAATTCAGTCTCTCCGGAGGGGGCTGTCCCTTCGTGAACAATGACTCGCCCGGAGATTCTGCTTTCACGGTTCCTGCACCTCCCCTCGTGACCTGGCAGCCGACGGGGTCTAGAACCTCGAGGGAGTGCCTGGTAGATTGGAAGGGAACATCCAGTAGTCGTGGAGACCCTCAGCAATGGGGTGCGCCCAGCAACCCGGCGCGAGGGACCCGACCCAGCGGAGCACGAGAGACAGGCGCCAGCCAGCAGCTGGCGCTCCGCGAAACCCGAGCGCCCATAGCATCTACCTGTTGATTTTTATATCCATGCTCAGGTGCCAAGGATCTCAGAAAGTAACCTACTGGCTAGCAATAATCAGATACATGGACATTAGAGATGCATGTGAAAACATCTAAGTGTTAGTAGCATTAAAATGAGTTTTTCTGTATGTATATTTTAAAATGAAATGACTATCTTCTTTAAAGGTTAAAACCTCATTCAATTTTATGTCTTATAGGCTTTATACCGAGTTCAATATTGTATAACTGTATTAATTCAACTGTGAACCTAAAACTTTACAGCCAATACTGAAAGAGATGCATCTTTGCTCTGGAAATTGTTATTGAATATGTTAATGCTATAATGAAATGTTTCTTCTAATCACGTGGTTATTAAATAATTAGAAAAAGAAAAGTGATAGTTATTGCTGGGGATGCTTTAATTAAAAACAGATTTCAGTGGGTGCTAGAGCGATGGCTCCATGGTTAAGAGCACTCACTGCTCTTGAAGAGGATCTGGATTCAATTCCCAGCACCCACATGGTGGCTCACAACCACCTGTAACTCTAGTTCCAAGAGATTTGGCACCTTCTTCTGATCTCCCCAGGCACCTGCAGTCACATGGTGCACATACATACACTCAAACATACATGCACATTTAATAGATAATTAGATAGAACAGAGATTTCAAAATGAAAGAATATAAGTACCACACAAATATTTGCACGCCCTGCCTTAGTTCAGGTGACTTCAATTACCTTCTAAATGTACCAATGGCTATTAGCACACTGTGTCCAATGTGTCTAACAGCCCATGCTGCTAGGCTAATTCTGCAGCACCCCCAAATGAGAGGCAAACACTGGTCACCCACAAAACAGTGAAACTTGGTGGTATTACAGACTGCTTTGATGGAATTCTAAACCAAAACTCCAACTACATTTTTAAAGAAAATTAAAGCAGGGGTGGGGGCTATGGATGAAATGAGGGGGGTGGGAATTGCATTCACTGACAGAGCGCTTGTCTAGCAAGTGCAGGGCCCTGGATTTGTCCCTTAGCACTGAAAAAAAAGATAAAATAAAAATGAAATGAAAAATAAACGTACACAAACTCTCCTCCTAACAGAACTATCTGAAGTCACTGAAGAAGCTGGTGCATCACCAGTATCGTGTGCAGAGTCTTCCTGGCTTATTGTTAGAAATTTAGGCGAGTGAGCAAGTTCGTTGTTCTAGGTACGTTGGACAAGGGGCCTCTCCCATTTGGCGCGCAAATGTATTTTTAGCATTGATAATGTGCTGAAAATTAGTCCTACAATTTTGGGGAAATCTAGAGTTATGTTTCTATTTCTAGGTCAAAAGTTTCCATTGGAGACAATTTGTTCCCCAAAGGAACAAATTGGAAAACATTTCTCAGTGTCACAACTGCAGTGAAGATACTACAGTCACTAGTGGGTAGAGGTCAGGCATGCCTCCAAGAATGAGCTGACCCCAGTGTCCTCAGTGCTGGGATTAATATCCTGCCCCACACTGGTTGTAATACTCACTACTTCTTCAAAGATTTGTGATCAGCAATATCTGACATGAACTCATACTCAACCGGACACTAAAGCTATTCTGTTTTATAAACCTTATTTGTGTGTGTGTGTATCTGTCTGTCTGTCTGTCTAGGCCAGAGGTTATTCCTAAGGCACTGTCCACCTTGTTTTTTAAGATGGGATCTCTCATTGGGATCCAATGCTCACTGATTAGGCTAAGCTGGCTTGCTAATGAGTCCCAGAAATCTACTTTCTGTCTCCCAGCACTGGGACTGTAACTGCATACTCCTGGCTTTATTCATGGGTTCTGGGGATCAAACTCAGGTCCACATGCTTACATGGCAAGCTCTTTACCAACTAAGCTAACTCGCCAGCTCTATTTTTTTTTTTTTTCTTTTGAGACAAGGTCTCCCCTATGAAGACCAAGCTAGCCTGGAACTTACTATGTAGTGCAGGCTAACCTTGAACTTTCATCTATTTTCCTTCTTACCTCAGCCACCAGAGTGCTGGGATCATATATAGGTAAACATAGCCACATTCAGTTTAGGTAACAAAGTTTTAATAGTAAAAATTTTGTCTTCATTCATCACAGTGTCTTTGAGTGATTCACCTTACTGGTGACTCAGGTTGTCTCTTTTGGGGACATCTCGAAATCTTTATAATGGAAATGTCCATATCTGCTCCCATTTTTTATGTATAAAATCCATTTTTATGTATAAAATCCATTTCAACATCTTACAGCTAATAAATTCCTCAGCTCAAGTCCTGAGCTCTGGCACTGTTCATCTCTCTTTACTTTGGGCACGCTTAAGTGGCAGGGATGATTTGCAATTACAGATGTGCTGGCAATACCCAAGGGATGAGTGCAGATGCAGTCTTGATGATGAGATGCATATTATTGGAAGGAGAGGTGGCTCTTACCCTCACATATAACACTGGCGTCTTCTCCAGGACCACAGTTATGTAGGCACCAGCCGGCATGAGGACACTGCCCCAGGAACTCTCTACCCCAGTGCAGTCCATATCATCAAGCAGAAACTCGCCTTGGCCATCACCAAATTGTCCCTGGACAGGGGCTCCGAGGGCACATCCACAGTTCAGCTGTCGGCATACCACCTCAGCCTCCTGCAGGTCCCACTGGTCATCACAAACCCTGCCCCACTGACCGTGGTAGAAAACTTCCACTCATCCAGAGTATCTTCCTGACCCATTCATGAGTTGCAACTGTGGCCAGTCTTGAAGGTACAAAAGTATTGTCAAAAGAAACCTACTCTGCATGGACCTATTTGCTTAAGCACAGGCCAAGCATTTATTATAAATCTGCCAGGACACAGAAGGCATATAGTACTGGGGATCTTGTGATTAGCAGAATGGATCTGATCCTTGCTGTCACAGAGGTTAGACTTTAGTTTCAGAGCCAGGAGGAGGTGGTCATTTTAATACAGAATTAAATGGAGATCTGTAAACATATCAAGTACTAAGAATCAAATGTGTGTGTGGAGGTATTCATAATGGTTGAGAGTGTGTGATGGGCAGTGGGGATGGGGATATCTTTTCTAAGTGGTGACAATGGTCTCAAGGCTTGAAGAAGAGTAGGAAGGAGTTAAATGGGCCAAGAACAGAGGGGAAGAGGACCGAGCCCTCCTCATTGCAGTAAGAAAAAGAAGACAGTAAAAACCAAGTCCGTAGAGTTTTACGAATGGGGTGAATACACAGAGATTCTCTGGTAAAGTCATTCTATTCAATAATATTTGTATGACTAGAGCTTTACCCACTAGTCAGAAACATATGACATACCAAATCATATCCCCTAAGGGATTGGAAAACCCTGACTCACCACCAGGTAATGGTGTTAAGTTTTTAGCATCTAAGAGCAAGGAGACATAAACAGGAATCACTGTCATGCAAAGCAGCTCACCCAAGTTTACTGTATGTGTGTATTTCATGGAGTAGACATTAGCTGGGTGTGCTTGGGTTTGAAAGCAGGATGTGTTCGTAGGTTCTGATTAGGGGAAAGCAAACAACTGATGTGTTCAGGCGGCTCAGAGTTATTTAGCAATTGGATTATTTGCACAAAGATACTGACTTCCAGAAAGCAAAGGGTCAAGGGCTTATACAAGAGTACTCTCATGGCACCCACAAAGGGACTTTAAGGAAGGAGCATTAAGAGACACAGGTTATTAAATATAGACTTTTCTCCATTATCATCTGATAGAGAACTGAAGGGACAAGGTATCCTGGGGATGTCCCTCACTGCCTCTGAAGTTAAGGCTTTCCTTAGTCAATCTGAGTTCAATTGCATCTGTGGATAAAAGTTTCTGAGAAGAACTATGCCTTCCTTTGAGCCTTCTGTGAGGCTGATTGAAAGACTGAAATGTTGCAAGACCAAAGCCAAATTATCCTGGGGCATCTTTAGCCTCCTTAACAGCTGTTTATTGCTCTGTATAATGTAACATATTCATGACCATTAAGCAAATCCTTAGATATATATGGACAGATCCCTAGTTCCCTATAAGAATGACGTTTACAATATAGATATAACCTGGACTGGTAAAGACTTTTACCTTGTAACCAAAAAGTTACTGTTTCTGATGTAAACAAGCTCACTGAGTCATGTGCTCCTCTTGGGACCCGCACACCTGACCTTAATCCCTTGGGACCCTCCACCTAAGAGTGAATGAATGTGGGTATGCATGATTGACATATCATCAAAGTGCCGGAAGCTGCATGTTTTTCTCACTGAAAACAGTGAGAATTGGGAAGTCTCTAATTGTATGTGTGATGGTCTTGGCCTAGGGATTAAATGACAAGGGTCTCTGAGAAGTGTGGGTCTAGGCTTCTACTTCCCCAGTTTATGCTGGAGATCTTGTTCCCATAAAAGAATGAGTGAGGCCTGGCTCAACAGCACAGTTCCTGAGACCTTCGAAGGAACGGGTTCTCAGAGTTCAGGGTCTCTTTTGACTTTGAAATGAATGCTGAGTCAGGCTGTTTCTTTTTTCAGGCATTACTGTAGGGTGGCTTAGAAACTGCAGTTTCCAACCAACCAAAGTGCTAAGGATGTTGTCAATAGCATCCGAGGCCTATAACAGAGGTGTCCCTGCTTTGACATAACCATACCTAATGGTTCCATCAATGTGTTCAAAAAGTGACTTTCCTTGTTCTGCTATCTTACAAACTTCATCAAGCTGTTGCTTGATGTTGGGACATGGATTTGGGGCAACATGAATCTGTATTTCCATGTCATGGTCACTCATATCTGGCTCCAAAATAAACCATCTTTTATCCTCCTTTGAGGCAAGAGTTGTGTTTCTACGTCAACACGTCTTTGAATTATAATTTGCCAACCTATCTTCATATCCTTCCTCCATAATTCTCTGAAATACATTTCAGAACAAAGCAATTTGGGAATAAAATACTTCCCGCATGGTCAAAGCCTAGGGATCTACCTTTTCTTAATTGACTCCTTTGTTTGTGTTCTGCTGTCCTTGCCTCCCACTTTATGGTACTAAAGACTGTGTTAGAGGACTGGGAGTACTTGTAGATGTTCTGTTAAAGACATGCCGAGGTACAGCTCGTACAAAACTCTCTTGAAGTTTCATATTCTACAACAATACATTTAGATTCTATAAGAAAAAAAAGAAGGCAGAATGCAGGGTGAGTCTATGGGAGATTAAATCCTACAATGCCCTGCCTTGCTGATGCCCCATATCTGGGTCCCCATTGTGAAATCTCAGCCTGAAATTAGTCGTGCATGGGGCTGTTTCAGTAACGCAATTGCTGTCTTAGAAGGAAAGCTGTTTGGACTTGTTCAACATTTGTGGGAATACATACATGTTAGGGTGAATCACACCTAGGTCTTTCAATATGAGTTGATTTGCCAAGCCTCTCAGCCTGAGAATGGGGCAGAGGACACCCACAGGCTAAGGCGGTACATCTTCTAAGGGGCTAATGCTACCCAGTGCTAAGTATGTCAAACGTTGATTCATATTCAAATAAACATGGTTTATTATTATCATTTGGACTCTGAAAGAGGATAGGATATCAACGAGAATCTCTGTGTAGGTCAGTTAACCCTGCCACTAATGCAGGTTGAGGAGCAAGCAGGAGTTTCCTCCTTTCTTCCTCCCAACTCTACACCTTGCTTTAGCCTCCAAAGTTGGCTTATTAGGGACATAGCTGTTCTGTCTCTTGGAGGTTGATACCCTAAAAAGCAGGTGCTCAGGCACAGTGTCATTAGAAGCCTAATTCTGGGGATACAGAAGGATGGGGGAGTGGATCACAATGCACCACAATCAACTCCAGCATTCTGTGAAAAGCCATATAATTACTGTCACAATAATCATTCCCATTTGGTTAGAAAAAGGTTAAAGGATGTGCAATGACACATTAAGCATGGAGAGAGGAGGCGTGGGAGGTGGAACAGTGGGGGGTTGGTTACCCTGGGGGACTGAAGGGAACAGTGGGGGGAGCCACAATTAGAAGCTCCCCCTTTAGTGCTCTGTGTATGTGTATGTGTATGTGTAGATACATTTAAGTTTACTGCAACAAAGCAACTTATGTACACTTTCGATGTTTAAAACTGAACATTATCTTTTCTTTCTAGTGAAAAAAAATTAAATAAACGAAATTGCAATAGAGAATGTCAATTCCAAATAAAATCTTACAGGCTTTGAGTGACAACTCTCTAAGAGTCACCATTAGGAGAGAATTTTATTTTAAAAGTGTCATCTTAAACTTGAAAGATGTCTGTTAAATATCACAATTAAACATGTCAAAGGAGAATCTATGTTTTCAAATACACATTTGACCCTCCCAAATATCTCAAACATATCGTGTGCTGACTTTCTAAACTCTTTTTCTTGTAACTTTTTTTTTTTTTTGGTCTTTTAATTATTAAACATGAGAGAGTAGACAGATACATATTGGCAAATGCTAACTGTCCATATTCACATAGAAACACTGTGATCTCTGAGCCCAATACACAGAGAAAAAGGGAAAAAATGCTAGAATTCTATGTAGTGGAACATGGGGCCGAGTACTCCCGGCTTCCAGCAGAGCCAAGGGGGTAAGAGGCTTCCCAGTGGTGGTGTTGATCCCACACAGTGTTTGCTGAGTGCTGTCTCTATCTTGAAATTCCTCCCGGTTCTTGTGCTGGGACTCACAGATTACAGGCAACCCTGAAGCTCACCTGGGTGCTTTCATTTCTGCCTAGCATTCCTTCCAGTGTAGCTGCTAGCTGCCTAAGTGGAAGCAAGAGAGCGTGGGGTGGTACAAGACAGCCCCACACCGCTGCTGCTTCCCCAAAAGGAGACGTTTCACAAGTGGTTTTCCACGGGAGTGTGTCTTGGGAAGGTGTCTGAGACTGGGCTTTTGAACCCACTAAAATATTACTTTACAAAGGCATCCTTCGTGTCAGGGGGAGAAAGGAGGAAACTCAGGGAATGATTTGACAAAGTACAAAAATCAATACTCAGAAAAGGTGCAAAGCAATTTACATGAGCAGATAACACCAATGTCTTCCCCATGCCCACAGTTGTGGATGAACCAGCCAGTGTGCGAGCACTGCTCCAGGGAGGCCTCAGTCCCAGAATATGGCACATCGTCCAGAAGAATGGGGCCACAGCCCTGGCCAAAGTAGGCCTCGCCATGAGCCAACACTACTGACCTGCAGGCCAGCTTCTGGCACACAACCTGTGCTTCCTGCTTGCCCCACAGGTCATCTCACACTGTGTCCCACATGCCCTCAAAATATACCTCCATTTGGCCAGAACAGCTGCCAGAACTTTCCATGAGCTGTACAGGAAGCCAGTCTTTGAAAGAAAGGCAGCCCTGACCCCTACCGAGTGTTGGTGAAGGGAACCACACCCCCCATCTTCCTGTTCATCTAGAGCATCATCTCTGTTCCCAGCATGAGGTGAAGCCTTTTACAGTGACATCTTTGTAAGGATTGCAGATACTTCGTTAGGGTGCTATTTATATGGGGGGTTGGCAAGGGCAGTGGGCTTCCTAGTGTCACAGCATTAGCCAATGAGGAGCAGAAGACATCAGATCTCCATAGGATCTCCTTGTTTGGGATAGGAATCTCTACCAATGGACCAGGTTGGGTTCCTCTGTTTCAGGTCATAAGGCTTTGCTTTGTTCTTTTAGACTGCATTTCTTTCTGTACCCTCCTGGCTCCAGCAAGAAAATCTTCATCTAACAAGATCGAAACTGTCCAATTCTGGGCCCCTTTTCTCCTGGATTCTTGGGTACTTTTCACTGTATTACTGTTGGCATTGAGCCAGGGGTGTTGGAGAAATACAAGTGCCCAGTGAGTGAATGCAATGTGCATTATCATGTGCAGTGATGGGGCTGCTCTCTCCTGTCACCTGGGACTCACATTTCACCTCTGAGCACTCTGCAGGGAAGCATCCAATTTGGCTGTCCCACTGACTCACAGGCAGCAAGCTTTGTTATGGTGATGGATAGTGGATAGTAGACATCTAAGTTGTGGTGTGATAGTAGCCCAGTCACCTGAGTTTGCATCTCAACTTGGTCACTTACTAGCTATCAATGTGAGCTGCTTAAATTCTCTTTTCCTCATCTGTAAATGGAAATGATACCTGAAAGGGTGGTCATCACAGGTACAGTGCCTGGCATAGAGGGAGTATGGAGGAGGTAGCAATTTTTACTATCTCTATTTTCTGAACCAGTAACTATACAAATGAGGACTATACATTCCCAAGGCTGACAAGGGAGAGCTGTGGCAGAGGAGGGAAAGGAGCGGGGGATGTTCCTGCTGTCTCCCTTCCTCCCAGTCACCTCAGAGAAGTGCCTTCAACGTGTAGCGTTCAGATATGCCATGTTTCTTCTCAGGGAAAGCTTGCTAAATGTGAAGGTTCTGGGGTAGAACCATGTCTAGGAGTAAGGCCCAACAAGTTCTTAGAGTGATTCTCATGCACCCCAACATTTAAGAACATCTGAAACAGATCTGCTTAGTCACTGTATAAGAGCCAGGAAGGGTCTTGGCAGCATCTCTGTCTTATTAGGAAGAAAACTGGGGTGTCTTTATGTCTGAAGATGAGTTACTTGCCCTACTCAGTGGAGACCCGGTCATCTTCAGGGACTTTGGTTTCTCTCCCTCCCGACCATCCTCTCCCTGTCCTCCAGCAGGCCACGGGTGTTTTCTGGCTGGGTGGGACTCACCTTCCTGCTGCTCCACAGACAAGCCTTGGATGGAGCTTCTCTTAGGGCGTCCCTTCCCCTGTCTTCCTCTGAATCCTTTGATGTCTCTCCTGTAGCAAGCTGAGACACATCCACCACGTTAGAGCCCTACAGGGATCACGGACACAGCCAGCCCCACTCCACAGAAGTCTCCTGGGCCCAGCTCCAAAGCCACCAGCCCCAGGCCCAGCAAAGCAGGGCCTGGAATCTAAATCCTAGGCAGCCCCCAATGGCATTCCAACAGAATAGACCCCATGTTCTGGAATTCTTTTTCCTTAAGCTGTTGCCTTGGGGCATAGTTGATCTTAAAATTCTCCAATTCTATCAGTTCTGTGTTTTCGTCAGCTAGTGTATCTTATTATGATTCTCTGACCATTGGCGTTAATCTGGAAGAATTTTCTCTAAGTGTGTTACAGTTTATATATAAAGTCTAGGACACTCTTTTAGTTAACTTGGTGCTTTCTAATGCTTCTTAGATTTGTCTTTTTACAGTTTTTCCTTTTTAATTTTCTATTCTTATTTTCATCATTTTTTCCCCATTTGGGTAGTTCTTTAAGACTACTCCTCTTATCCCACCTCCATTTCTAATTTTACATTGAGGGGTTGTCCTTTTTTGGAGACAGGGTCTCACTATACAGTCCTGGTTGGCCTGAAACTCACTATGTAGACCAGGCTAGCCTTGAATTTACAGAGATCTGCCTGCCTCTGCCTCCCAAGTGCTGGGAGGCCCATCCCTGACTTTTGTCTTTTAAAGGTAGTTTGGGTGAGAGAGAAGGTATTAGGCTCCTGCTCAAAGTAAATATAGTAATCTCTTAAAAAAAAAAAAAAAAAAAAAAAAAAAAAAAAAAAGCTGGTTCCCGACTCCTTCTGGTTAGGCGTAATAACACTATGATAATGCACATAAGGGCTGTCCTCCACTGCAGCCCCTCTGGCAGATTTTGAACCATGAGTCTGCCTGTCCTTCTGCCCTGTCTGTCCCAGCCAATAGGAGGTGACTCTGCTCAGTAGGCAATCAAGGACCTAGGCCTATGGTACTTGAGTCTGGAGAACTTTATTAGCCCAGTTAGTTTCTTGGTGTCTGTTGGGAGAGCCTGCTGTGCCTGGTCATTGGATAATGCCCTGGGACATATTCAAAGCATCCTCATCCTGGTCCCTTTGTCCTCTCCAGATGAGCACCAGATCAGGCAGTACACAGTCTAGTGAGCAGAGGTATGAGATAGGCTACAAGACAGCAGAGAGCTCTAGGATTCCTGGAGTCTAGAGCTGGTGCTGGTAACCCTTACACGATGCCCGTGGTGTGGCCCCATGAGCCTCAGCACTGGACTGAGACACTCAGACAGTGTTTCCACCCCCATGGAATAGATTAGAAAGTTAAGACACACGGAAGCCAACATACCTTTCCAGACCCACAGCTGGTGAGGCTTGGTTCCAGGGGACATTTAGCCTGTGAACCCCCTGGCCTCCCTGCATGCTCTGCTCCTCTCCATACTTTGATTCTTTCCTTCGACTTTGACTCTTCTTTCTCTCCACTCCTCTTATCCCACCTCCATTTCTGATCAGTCCTTCCATTTCCCATCTACCCAGTATTCCCCAAGCCCTTGAGACAAGGTCCCTCTGTGTAGTCCAGAACAGTGTCTAATTCTCCATCTTCCTGCCTCATCCTCCCGAGTGCTGGGTTCACAGGTGCCACTATGCCTAGCACCCAATATTTTTTATTAATAATTCTAAATCCTTATGTCTAAGTAAGTTTTTTACTCATCATCTCATTCAAGGTGACATGGACTATAGATGATCAAGAAAGAAAGAAAGCCGGGCGTGGTGGTGTACGGTATTTAGTCCCAACACTTTGGAGGCAGAGGCAGGTAGATCTCTGTGAGATTGAGTCCAGCCTAGTCTATTTAGTGAGTTCTAGGCCAGCTGTGGTTACAGGGAGACCCTGTCTCAGAAAAACCTAAAAGAAAAAAGGAAGGAAGGAAGGAAGGAAGGAAGGAAGGAAGGAAGGAAGACATGAAGGAAGGAGGGAGGAAGGGAGGAAGGAAGGAAGGAAGGAAGACATGAAGGAAGGAGGGAGGGAGGGAGGAAGGAGGAAGGAAGGAAGGAAGAAGGAAGGAAGGAAGAAGGAAGGAAGGAAGGAAGACATGAAGGAAGGAGGGAGGGAGGGAGGAAGGAAGGAGGAAGGAAGGAGGAAGGAAGGAGGTAGGAAGGAAGGAAGGAAGGAAGGAAGGAAGGAAGGAAGGAAGGAAAGATTCCCTACTACTGTTGTCCAAACCCACAGTGGCCACCCAGAGTTAGGAGGTGTGCATGTATGTATGTGTCTGTGTGCCTGTGTGCCTGTGTTTGTCTGTGTGTGTATGTGTGTGTGTGTGTATGTATGTGTATGTGTCTGTGTGTATGTGTGCCTGTGCATACTGCCATTTCTTTCAATAATTTTCCCTAATTCAGTCTCCCCTCTATTCCATGTCACCTGCCTGCTCATCTGAAAAAGCCATATTAGCGTCATTTTGAAGACTAATAGTTCTCTGTTATCTACTGGATAAAGATCAAAATTCTTAACCTGAATTTTAAAATCCTTTGCAATCAAACCACTGCTTCCTTCCCAGCTCCTCTTTGGTGGGCTGTTCTCAGAAGAAAGCTTCATCCTGACCACCTCTAGGGTTCTCTTGAACTATGAAAATTCCCTCACATGAACACAGCATCCCAGCCATTCAGACAAGACCAATCTAAAGTCATGGGCAGTGGTTCCAGAGTCAAGAGGACAAACTTACCCCACATGAAACATGCGGACACTGCTCCCCAACACAAGGGCTCTTTGCTACTAGAAAATCAAAGCACCAAGATCCCAGGTGCCAGCTACACAGACATCATTTGTTCCCTGAGACAGTCACAGAGGAGACAGCCAAAGAAGCTTCCAGAAAACTGACCCACCAAACAAGGCACATTCAAAAGTGGTTGTTCATGACCATAACATCAGCCTTGTTTGCCCTTTGTCATCGCCACATTTGGGAGCCCAGAAAGGCTGTTTGTAGGAGTGAAGGTGAAGGAAGAGGAGCCCTTCGTCATCTTCAAGTGCATTTCCCGAGGCCGTGGGCAAGGTGGATGGTCTGCTTTATTGGAAACAGAAAGTGGAACAGTGAGGTTGACCTGGGAGGTAAGTGGAGACAGGTTGGGAAGGGTTTTTTGAGTGCCAGACCAAAGGTGTTGGAGGAACAGGATGGACTCTGGGGTGGGAGGGGCCAGAGTGGGGAAGGGTCGAACAGAGTCCTGGGCCAGTGGAGGCAGTTGGAAGGAGAAGACCAAGGAAGGATGTGAGAGACCTGCTGTTGGTGGCAGTAATGGGACTCGGGGAAGGAAAAAGAAAGATCCAAAGTGCAGCCACAGGACCAAGAGTCCACTGTCAGAGTGTCCTCAGGAATGGAGCTGATGATCTAGATGGGCTGTGTAATTTGAAACAATTGCCAAAGTCAGGAAATAGATTAGAAGATTGGACCATTGAAGAGACGTAGTTAGAGGAGCCAGTCTGCAGTGAGGCAGCCCACAGAGTCAAGGAACAGCTAGTGTCTGGGCTCCTGGATGCTAACCAGACTGATGCCACTGGCTTGGCAATGAAAGGCTATTGTGGCCCCTAAAAAGAGCAGGGCCAGAAAGGAGTTGAGGTGCAGAAGCCTGAACCAACTGCTTAGGCAGCTGAACTCATAATCCTCCTGCCTCAACTTCCAGAATGCTGTGATTACAGGTAGCCCCAATCAGGCTTTGTAGGGGGTCAGGGATGCTATTGTTAGGTCTGAACCTAGGGCCATACACAGGCTAAGCATGTACTCTACCACCAAGCTACATCAACTATTGATCTTTGGTATGGAACTTTGACATTCTTGCAGTCTTGAGTAAGGCTCAGTGCAGCTCTACATGTCCCCAGCCTGACACCCTCAGCTGCCCGAGCCCCTCCTCTACAGAACACCAGGGCAGCATCAGTGGGGACAGGTGGTGTCTTGCCTATTCGATTTGGAGCCTTTTGTATTACTCTGAAGTACGAATTAAGAAGCCAGGAATGTGGGAAGATTTGAGGACGACTAGGCAAAGGGACAACCAACACCCCAGGAAGGAGGACAACCCTACAGGGCTTCCTTTAGGGTGGGAAGGAGAGTGAGGCAGGTTGGTCACGTGTGGTGAGTGCATGTGAACGCATGTTTGAATGAACATAGATGGTCAAAGTGTGTGAGTGTGAGGTTATGAATAAATGCAGGTGAGAGTGTGTGTGAATATATTTGAAAGTGTAAATGAATGTATGTGAAAGTGTCAAAGTATGTGAGAACGCATGTGTGTTTAGTGAGTGAGAGTGTGTGAATGTATCTGAAAGTATGAATGAATTCTCTGAGAGGGATATGTATGTGAGCGTGTGTGTGAATGCACGCATGTGTGCTGAGTACAGTGTGCTTATGTCCTGGCTCTCACTGCATTCAACAGAGCTGGGCAGTGTGACATTTGCTCAGCATCTGACCAGAGTCGTATGGGTCAGCAAGGCAGCTGTATCATCCAAGAACCCCCATCTGGGTGTGGGGATTAGAAGCCCAGTGGCTGAGTAATAAGAGCAGGTGGAAGCACACGGGGTGCAGGAAGGAGGGTCCTGGGTTCCCTGCAGGCCTAGCACCCTTCAGAGCACAGCTGGAGGGCGTGTCGCTTGACCATAATGGACTTTATAAAGACCTTCATGATTTACGTTGGGGGGTGCTGTGAAACGAAGCTCCCAGAAAAGTGCACCTCTGTTGAAGTGTCTACAGACTGACTGTGGACGGTTGGAAAGCCGCAGATCCAGAGGCAAACTTACCCTGAGCTTTCTTTTTTTTTAATATTTTTTTAATTTATTAGTTTTATTTTATGTGTATGAGTGTATTGCCTGCATGTATGTGAGTGCACCTGTGTCATGCAATGCCACAGAGGTCAGAAGAGGGCTTCGGATTCCCCTGTAACTAGAGTTAAGGACGGCTCATAGCTGCCATGTGGGTGCTGAGAATCGAACCCAGGTCCTCTACAAGAGCAGTCAGTGCTCTTAACTGCTGAGCCAACTCTCCAGCCCCACCTTGAGCTTTCTTTAGTCCCCTTAATAGCTGTTTGTCACCCACCTCCTCTATATCTGACCCAACATCTTTTTGAATATCAGATAATACCTAGAATGTATTCTTAGCAGACCACTAGCTTCCACCAACCCCAAAGATAAGAATGTCAGGGCTGGAGAGATAGTTCAGCAGTTAAGAGCAATGACTGCTCTTGCAGAGGACATGGGTTCAGTTCCCAGCACCAACATGGTGGCTAACAACCACCCATAACTCCAGTTCCAGGGGATTCAACATCCTCTTCTGACCTCCACGGGCATAGCATGACACAGGTGCACTTACATATATGCAGGCAATACACTCATACACATAAAATAAAAATAATAAATAATTTTTTTTAAAAAAAGAATGTCATCAGAGAGCTTTGAGACCTAGAGTCAACATTCCCCCTGGATTAACTTGCCCTACTTATATTGCCACCAAACAGCCCTTCTTAGGAGGTCACCAAGCCACCTTTGACCTCACTGTTCCTGTGGCTTGCCCCAGTACCTGCAAGTTCCCCAGGATCCTTCTGTTGGTATTTGACCTGGAGTGGGGGGGTTACACCATATCCCTGGGTGCTTGTTCTTGAAAGGTCACACTGGCCCCATTGTCCGCAAAGCTCTTGTGTAATAAGCAGGCGCCTGGCAAAACCTTTTGGGCCATATCATGTCACTAATCCTGGGTTCTGGAAACTCAAGAGCACCCCCCCATACACACATGAAGGCTACCAGGTAATGTGCATATCTCAGGGGAGATGTGGCAAGAGCATAGGCATGAACAAAAAGGTTGTAAAGTGGGCATCGATAAAGGAGGCACCCAGGAGGCAGGGAAAAAATGGCCCTATTGATACCCAAGACTTACAAATTGTATCTACTAGATCTGCTGAGCTGCCCGATACCTTTACATTTACAGAATTCAGGAGAAACAATCCCATAATCTTCTTGATTTTATTTGGGGAGCCCTTGTAAGCAGAGGGGCCCAGGGTATATATTCTTGCTCATGGCTTGTCCATTTCTTTGCTTCAACGCTTTATGCAGGCTTTCCAGGGTGCTGGGAGCTGTGGAGAGGCCACAGCAGAACAGCATGTACTGCGTAGCAGAGAGCTCCCGTTTTGCAGGAGGTTAGCAAGCTTCAGTGAGACAAGATTAAGGCAGAGAGAGGAGAGTGGTGTGACTGGGTTACCCAAGTGCCCATTAACGTGACGACGTCAGATTTTCTTGCTGGGCCTTGGGTTTCAGTGTGATAGGAGACGGATTAGGACCAGGATTGAGGCTGATTTTTTCTTTTCTTTGTTTTGTTTTTTGAGACAAGATCTCGCTATCTAGTCCTGGCTGACTTGGAGCTCACTA